AAAAAAAAAAAGGAGAGAGAAGAGGATAAAGACAGCAGTGAATCAATAGAGAGGCAGGATGTTAATGAGAAATAGATATGGTTTATTACCTGTTGATGATGACATGTATAGTATTCTCAACTGAACCGGTATGGGAAGTATTTCATGATGGGTGAAGTCTTTTTAATAAGCAAAAATGAGAAATAGTGATTGATTGTTTAAAAAAAATAATAATAACAATTATTGGGAAAAGCATGGAAAAGATATTGAATGATAAAGCAGGGAGATTGATATCTCTGTATTGACTGACATGCATGGCATCCCATTTTGAAAAAGCAATGGAAGTCAATGTAAAGTTATATGTAATCTAGTGTAATAGAAAGAAGATTATGATGATAATAAAATAAAAAAAAAAAAAAAAAAAAAAAGTAACAGGAAAAAAAAAAATAAATAAAAAAAAAAATATAGCATTAGAGGGGCTGGCAAGTGGTGTGGTGGTTAAGGGTGCTGGACTCCCACATGGCCAACTGTGGTTCAAGTCTCGAACCTGTTTGCTTTCTCACTTTCCCTCTCTCTCTCACTCTGTCCTTCTCTGGCCAAATTTAAATAAATGAATGAGTGAATGAATAAAGTTAAATAAAATAATTCTTAAAAAAATAGCATTAGAAATATCTTTTTATATTGATAAGCCTGTATACTCTAAATCCTCAAACAAAGCAGACTTAGAAAAAAATAGAGGCAAGACATTTATGGGACACAGAAATAGATTACTATCCATTGATGATAATGTGTATAATATCCTCACAGAGAAATGGATTATTATCTGTTGATGACAACGTGTATGGTATCCTCAACTGGATTAATGTGAAGTGTATTCGTGTTTGGTAAATTCATGTTACACGCTAATGATGTATAGTGATTGAATGTATATTTTTTTTAAAAAGCTGAAAAAATTAGATATGTTCTCTAGGAATTACTATACTGAGTCAATATGGTCAAGCTGTAGGAGACGAGAAGCTCTCCTCTCCTAAGAGCTCACAGCAGTCTCTTCCCTGGTGTCCCCCACGGAGAAGGTGAGAAGGGACAGTGCTGTGCACAGCAAGTGGGTTCTGGTGGAAGTCATGCTAGGGTTGACGGGGTCAGCGCCAACTGGGGAAGCCGTGTCTCAGCAAGTCCTCAGTTCTTCCTTCAGAAACACCTGAAGATATGGTTTAGTTGGGAAGCCTCATGAACAGAGACATGAAAAGCAATTTGAAGACCATGGAAAAAGCCAGTAAATGAAGATGCACAAACTGTTACAGGCTTACCCCTTGTCCACACTGGCATGGACTGCTGCGACCACACCTTCCAGGACCTGGAGTGGGTCCCTCGGCCCACTGAGGTCAGCACTGCCTCCTCTGTGGAAAGAAAGTCAGAACCAACTCAGAAGATGATCACCCAAAGCTCAGAAAAGCTTGGCATTTACACACTCAGATGAGGCCGGTGGGGTGCGGGCACTGAAGCCCACTGCAGGGTGCCAAGCCCAGACTAGGTGCTGAAGACACAGAAGCCAATTCAGCCTGTAAGGAGCTCACAGTCTCACATATGTATGTTCTCCTATCCACAGAGTAACACGATCTACTTGCATTCTGTCTTGCCAAAGACACTGATTAAACATTAAATATATGAGCTATTTTAAGCATTAAATATGTAATAATGAGCTAAATCTTCAAACTGAACTTTTAAAAAATAAAAGTAATGTTTACTTGCTACTTACAAGGTACTAGGCACTACTAAGTGCTTTGCATATATTCTACCAGTTAATAATCACAAGAGTCCATGAGATAAGTACCACTCTTATGCCCATTTACAGATGTCTACATGTGAAATTCTTCTGGACTCTGGAAATGCAGCAGGGAAAAGTGTTCCAGATGAGTTTTCCCAATAATTTAAGTTAATGATTTAAATTAAGTGCTGGATTAGGTTCCTTTTATGTCTTTGCCATTTTGTGCCTACTAAATACTAAATGTCCTTTCACTAACTTCCTAAAAAGCAACCAGTATGCACAATGTCAAGAGGAATTTCTTTTCCTTTGAAAAAGAGGTAGCTGAACTCCTCAAACTCCCTTTTCCCTCCAGGCTTGAGTGATGCTCTTCTGAAAGATTTAAATCAGATTTACTCAAAGTTTTCTGTATGCAAAGTATATCATTTATTTGATCAGAACTAAATCTTCAACAGTATAGGTAGATGTAGAGAAAGCAGAGAGAAGTATAATTTATGTCCGAGTTTCATAAATGTAAAAAAATCACATATTTTAATTATTAATGAGAATGTATGATTTTAGGAAAGAAACTACATTCAACAAAACACTAATTTTTCAAAATGTTGTTCAAATTTAAAAACATATCATGTTTTTGTGCATTTAATTTAAAGTTTGAAGAAACAAAAAGATAACTATAAACGAAAATGTACAAAATGCAAAAAATCAAGTATCTGTCATATTGAAAGAGGGGTTCTTCTACTCAACAACAAAAAAATAATAATGCTAATAATAGAACAAAGCTTTATTAATTTAGCATTTTTTTCCTAGGAACTGTTACAATATTTTATGTCTCCCCTTATATATGAAATTACCAGATAGCTCAGAGCATTAAGGTGAAAACTATATGAGGCTAGGATAATTAAACTGATAAAGGCTCATTTGATTTCAGTTCAGCTGCAGAAAACTGACATGCATTTAATCAAAAAGTTCCTCAAGAGCAATACAGAATTACAAAGAATGTTTAAAAGGAGAATAAATTAAACACAACTAAATCTTTTAGCCTAATTGCATTATTCACAGAAAGCACTTGATGCCTCATTATTTTCTGAGCTTCACTCTTCCGTTCTTTCTAATCTTCTCGGATGCATTCCTACAAAGGCACCAGCATTATCGACATAAAGTCAGAATTCCTCAGTTGTCAGTTTTATGCCATTAATTGCAGGTAAATAATGTCCTAAGACACTTAACAGATGTCTAACTCCTTCAGTGTATGATTAACCTTGCCTTGCATACTTCAAAAGAACCTTCTGGGAACCATTTCCCACCGCTACAAAGAAGGGAAATTAGAAAAGACAGGATTGGGAAAACCACACTGAGTCACAGGGTGGTCTGCCACTTAGCTAAGCTGTTTTCACGTGCCATTTTGGCTTTTCCCTTATTTCAAGAATCACTCAAGTGAAGGAAGAAGTCCAACCACAAGTTAGCTTCTTCAAAAACTACCCACAAAACTAATGATGAAACGTGTTCATGGTTTTCCATTCTCAAGGTATTCTGAAATGTAAGACTTTGCAAACTCTAAAAATAACATTTTATTCTCGTAAAGCACTTCAAAATATAAAACATGTTTCCACATACATGATGATAGCTTAGTTGCATAATGACCATGAGGCAGGTTACTACTACTGGAAGAATATCAGCTTGAGTTTTCTTCAATGACTACTTTATAACTCACCTCAATGCAGAAATTATTTTCATGACCGCATTCTGTACTATATCCTTGGGTGATAGGTCGAGAGGGCCAACAGCCACTTCTAGTAGCTGCTGAATCATTCTGAGAGGTTGACCATCTAAGCACATGGCCACAGCTTGATCGTGAAGTTTCCCTTTATCTGATCGGGATAGATCATAGAGGTTACTGTATTTTTGCAGGGTTTCCTGAAAAGACAGAGTAAGCAACACCTAAGTACCAGATAGAAATTAAATGTGTCTACAAGTGCACAGAAGATCCTCACACCAAATACATTACAACCATCAGCACCATAACAAAGGACACATGTTGGTTATTAAGAGCTTAGGTTTGGGGCCAGAAGGTGGCATGGTGGTTAAAGGTGCTGGATTTCCACTTGGTCAACCATGGTTCTAGTATTGGATCTGGTGGCTTGCTTTCTCACCACCCCCTCTGGTCAAATTAAATAATAATAATAATAATAATAATAACAAATGGAATTAAATAAATAAATCTTTTTTTTTCTAAAGGCTAATCCTTACTTTACTACTTATTAGTACCCTTTATAATCTCAAATTTCAGAATCCATAGTATGAGGATGAGGACAATAGTCCTGTGACTAGAAGGCACTGCGAACATTAACTAAAATAATATAAAAGCCAGTACGTTAGCACGACGTGAGACATAAAGTAACTCATAGGTATGAGTTTCTCCATTTTATTTTTGCCTCTGCATTACAAGTACATAAGTTATAATCTATTATCAACCATGTAACTAAGGTATTGTACATATGGTATCTAGGTTAATACTTATAATAAATCTGCCAAGTATTTTTAATTAGCACCATGTTATCAAAAAGGAAGCTGAAAGGGGCTAGACAGTGGTGCAGTGATAAAAGGAGACCTTCTGCAAGACTGACCAACGTGGGAAGGTTCCAGGTTCATGTCTGGAGACTTCCCTGAGTACACCAGACACATGGATGCCCATGATCTGGGGTTGGCTGAAGCTGGGAATGGATTACAATGTCAAGACCTGTTGGGGAGTTGTCTCTCTCTCCCATTTATGGAACAAATAAATAACCTTAACAACAACAACAAAGCTGTAGATGGGAGATATTAAGTAACACGTCCAAAGTCACATGGCTAGGAAGTAATAGAGTTAAGATTAGAACCTAAAGTCTTCCCCACCTCCTGTGCCAAGCTGCTTGCCTCTCTTAGACAATCTCTGTAAGAAATAGGACTTAAGCTATAGTTTATTTGCAAATCACACATGGTCATTTAATGATGATACCACTTTCCAGGTTCTTCATTAGCTTCTTCTTAGTAATCCTGAATATACTGTTTTATCTTACAAAACATTATCATGTGAAAATCTGAACATTAACTGGGTATTTCATGTTATTCAAAATTACAATTAATTTTCTTGATTGGGATAATGTAGTGGTTATGATTAAATGCATCTTTTAAAGACAATACTTGGGGAGAAAATAAAAAGATGATGAGAATTTGCTTTAGCAAGATCCACAAGTGTGTTAAGACGGGTCACATTTTCATAACTGATGAAGTTAGGAGTTGGGCACGTGAAGTTACATTTTACTGTTCTGCCCATTGTGAGTTTTTTTTATCCAAAAGAAAAAAGTCCAACCAGGCCAGCAGATGGCACAGAGGGTAATGTACTCAATCCCACATGACTGACCACAAGGTTCAAGTCCCACAACCAGCAGCTTGGAAAACACACCAGTGCATGTGTATGCATGTGTGCCCCAAATCCCAAGAAGAGAATGGAGGAGGACTGCGTCATGGCCATCCTCCCTGGGGATGCTTTCTCACTTTTCTTCCTTCTCTCCGCTTCCTCTCTCTCTCTCTGTCTCCAGCAAGCGCATGTGCCCTTGCTGGAAAAAAGAACTCCTATGAGTTAGGCAGGGCAATTACTAGTATCCCTACCTCGGAGAAGAAACTGAGGATCTAGAGGATGAAGGCCTTTAACCTTCAAGATAGAAGACATTCTTTTATTGGGTATATAATTAAGGAGCTGAAAATCAAAGTCTGAACTTAAATGTATGGGACTGAAGGTTATTTCTACCTTTTACCATAAAATATGCCTTAATAAAATCTAAGACTATCCAATTAAGACATAATAAGGGTCTCCTATTACGGACCATCCACAGTCTGACTGAATGGCATTCCTAAGTGGCCACATGGTACCCTAACCCACAGTCTAGATGAGACAAACAGCTGATGTTTCTGTTAATAACCCCCTTGAATCCATGTACACTATTTTAGCCACTGAAAGACAACAAGTGCAGACTATTACACAAAGGAGAGCAATAGTGCCAATTCTCTGGACTTTAATATAACATATTTCACTTAAAAATATATGAACAAGTATTTAAAATGTTTATATTAGTGATTATAAATCATGTCACTTGAAGGTTAGAACTCTACCCTAGTTCTCGTAATTATGGACTGTAGTACTAAAATGTCGGCAGGATAAAAATCCAGATTGGTAAAGCCAATTTGTTTCCTGCAAGGGCTTCTATATTGTTTATACCATTCTTTAATGTTATTTATTAAGCAGGCTAATAGGCACTAAAAAATATAAAATAAAATTGGTCTCAAACTTTTCAGTGCTTCCCATTATCTCTTCCATGAGGGCTTTGCATTTATGTGTCTCATACCAATTTTGAAGTCTTCCATTTGTCAATTACCTGAATTCGTCCCCACTGACCAATCTCTCTATTCTGGGATATTCCATACAATCTAAGAATACAAGTCAATGAACATGTAACGTTTAGGAAAAATGAAAGAGGCCACCTACAGGTTCATTTACTGTAACATTAAAGGGCAAATGGAATATTATACACATATTCAAATTCCATTTCAAAACCATTTACTTACTGTTTTTCCACCTTTCCAGTAATGGAAAAGAATATCTAAACTCTAATGACTGTAGAAAACAGAACAAAATCTCTGAGGGCCTCAGAGGGCTTCTGGTATCCTCAAACCTAATCAAGGAGAAGGGCTGCTGGAGAATGCTGTTTCTGCAACACTGAGAAATTCTCCACTAGAAACCAACTAGGAACAACTTGACTAGCCAAAAAGTTCTTATCAATAAACTGGAAACATGCAACATAAAAACACTATGAGTACACATAACTTTGTAACGTTGTGAAAGACTACTTCCGAATTTTCCTGCAAGTCGGAGGAGCAGGAACTCATCATCGTTCAGTTGCAGAGCAAACACTGGCCAGATGCAAGTGGGGCTGCTTACGTCCTAACTTCAGAGAACGCCCCAACCCAGGCACCTAGCAGTGCTCAGCCCCCACCAACCATCTCCTCTTCTCCAGCCCTTGTCGTCCTCTCATCCCTGCCTCCCCTGGAAGAGGTGAAAACTAAACTGACAATCAAGTGATAACCAAGAGGTTAAAGGATAAACGTTTGAGAACCATTTCCAAGGATATCTGCAGGTCTGAAAAGCCTATCGACACTCCTAATGTAGCCTGAAAGAACAAGTAGAAGCATCTACTGATAGAATCCCAGTGAGCCAGCACACAGCGGTTTCCAGGTCATTACCTGCTCGCTATTCTTCAGAGAGATGATGAAGCTATGGCTGAGGGTTTCCAGATGAGCAAGTGATTTCTCCAGATGATCCAAAGTATCTGCATAGGTAACTTTAGAATCACTTGCTCCTTGAATGTCTTCTTCTGAGTTTCTTTTCCTTGGCTTCTCAATAAAATGTCTGACTGTCTTAATAGCCTTTCTAGTCATCTCTTCACGAGTCTCCACTGACAGCTTAAAAAAAAAAAGATATTAAACAATAGTAAGACAAACCAGCCCAACATTTTTACAGATTGCATATTTATTAAGATATTAAGTGAAGTAGAGAGAAAAATAAAAATTTAATGAACAATTTTAATCTATGATAGAACTTATGTTATATTATTTTTCTTCTGTAAAGAAAACAAAAATAGTGAGGTTTCCATTTCTACTACTAAAATGGCAGTACAGATTTATTGAAGAATTATAATTCCAAAGTAGTTCATGTTATGATGAAATTAGTCTTCACACTGATTGCTGGTCACAGTACAGAAATGAAGAGTCAGTTCTATGACCATAATTCCCCGTTCTGATCATCCACCATAAGGAAATGATTCAATGGAAGAAAAAATATATAATCATAAAGATTTTAACTGGACTAATTAAGAATATAAAAATAAAACCAAAAACAACTTGGCTGACAAGAGAACTGGTAACTAGCTTTTGATAAATTATTAATTAAAATGTTATACAGTCATTAAATAAGAATTTTTTAAAAGTACTACAATTTAGAAAAAAATAGTCATAAAATGTTAAAATTAGAAACTAGGATGTAAAATTGTTATCATGCTTACATGATATTTAAATGACATCCGTATACAAAATATATAAATTACATATAAACATACTTTACATTTTTACATATGTTAAGCTATATAAATATATATGTATTTATATAAATATACACAAGAAATGAGTGATGTTAAATTACTGGAATTGTAAGTACTTTTTTTTCTTTTCTACTTTAAAATTTCCAAAACAATACTGTACTCATTCATTTATTCACTGATATGTCAGGTGCTATGTGAGGTATACAGGGATTATGTATTTCTAACAATATTAAACATTTTAGGCTCACTCTCAAGAATACAAAATAGTCTACACTGTGCTCACTATGATCAAGGAACCAGACACCTGTTAGCTACACTGGTGCCTTCTTAGGCTCTGCTTCTTTGTGCTGCTTTGGAGCCAAAATTCTGGCCTCCTGTCCAGTACCTGAGCACATTTTTACCACATTCCCCACGCTGCACCATGTCGTTTAATGAAACTTAATGAGAAAGCCTGTGCTGTAACCAGCACCGAGCCTTGCCCATAGTAAGTGCTTGTTTTGCTCCATGGTGTTACTGTGACAGAAATATCTGAGTCTGGGTGACTAGGACAGCATGCTGGTGTATTTAGTTTGTGATTTGGAGATCGAACATCAAGGGGTGGCACCTGCTGAGGGTCTTCTTGTTGGTGGGGACTCTATGAAGAGTCCCAAGGCAGCACAGGGCATCAGATGGCAAGAGGACAAGAGCCTGTGCCACTGGCTGTCAGCCCCAGCTTCTCTTCCTCTTCTCATACAGCCACGATTCATCCACGGGCCCCACCATAATGGTTTTATCCAATACTAATGACTGCCCAAAAGTTCCATCTATTAATATCATAGTCAAATTAAGTTTCTGCCCTCTTAATATGGTTATAGTGGCAGTTACGTTTCCACCACAGGGACTTTTGAGGGACACATTCAAACCATAGCAAGGTTCAGTTAATGAAAGCTGAATTTTAATTTGATCTGATGATAAAATCATAGGCCATTCTCCATCTGTTAAGTTTTTCATCTAACTACTAAATTTGTCATATAATTCCCTTTGAGAAATCCTTTTTTATAAGCTCCCCATTCTTTGGCATGGAACTCAAGGTCTTTCACAAACTAGCCCGAAGCTCTAGCTTCGTGGCCTAACTGTAACACACACCTTTTACTCCAGCCACACAGACTTCATCACTCTCTGGTGTCATTATGTGTCTTCTTGTCTCAATGAAATGCTCGTCCCTCTCCTTTGCGAGGGAAAGTCACAGCCGTGTTTCAACACTAGGACGCGTGGAGCCAACCAGGCTCATCGCTCTGGCACCTGTAGCCAGTCCAGCACAAGCCTCTGCTGCGACCTCCGAGAGCATGCTCCCCCGTCCTCGCTGTGTGCACAAGAACTGTCACCCCAGCATTACCGAGGTTAGGCCTCACACTGACCCGACATCTGTGCTTCATAAAAGCTGCTAGTGCTCACAAGAGTCAAGTGAATTTTTATGAGTTTAAATTATTTGACCTCATCACCGCTGTGTAATCAGAAAAGGTATTTTCCTATTTTAAATCATCCTTCAAAATAATTAAAAACTTCAAATAACAATAATCTGACACTTAAAGGATGCAGAGTAAAAATGAAGGCAACCTTCAGTTCATCCTCCTGAGATAGCCAGGACCTCTAAGAAGCAAAATGAGAAAATGTGGAAGGGCTTTTATTTGACTAGGCATTTTAGTCAATTCAAGCTTTTCACTATTTGACTTTGTAAGAACAGGGTCATGGCTGGAAGAACCCAGGGTATGATAAATACAAGTTTAACAATGAACCCTCTGGCAGATATTCTTTCTTTAAACTGTTCTATGATGGAAGGAACAGAAGTAAAAGGAACAAACAACTGAAGAAATGTACCAGAATAAAAAATAATAACAAGTTCTTTACTATACCCTTTATTCTTAACATTCTTTTCTGAAGCCCACGGCATTAAAACACCATTCACACACATCATTACTATAATAACCAATCAAGATTAAAATTTTAACTATTCCCTGTAGCAATTAGCACTTGCTATTAAAAATAATGCGAGTTTTGTGAAATTAAGAGAAGTAGCTAAATTGTCTCATTAGTCAATAAATAGGTACTAAGCATCTATTTTCCCAAGCCCTTTCAAATAATGTCGTAAAAAACGTAAACCAGGCTCACCAAAAAATCACATAGAGTAGAAGAGAGAGAAGGGAAATAAAACAAAACAGACAAACACACATTTAGGGAGTCATCTCTGACATCAGCAAATCTTAATGGGTCTACCTTCAAAATGTATCCAGCACCTTCTCTGCCAGCACCCTTCCCAGCCACCATTACCTCTTATAAAGAGGACCGTGAGGGTTCGCACTTGCCCCTCGATGTGAGAAAGACAGTGGTGCTCACCAAACGTGAGCATTTCAGTCCCTTCACTGCATCTGTCAATTCCTTGTAGTTAGAATAAGCCACATTCCAGCCAAGAAAATCTGAGTGGAAGTGACATGCCATTTCTGAGCCAAGGCCATAAAATCCATGTGGATTTGCAACTGTCTTCTTTATTAGTCCTGGCAAGTGATGGTGCAGGTCCCAGGCAGGGCCATTACAAAATAGGAGGGCTTTCATTAGCCTGGATTCTGAGGGCCTTGGGGTGCAGAGCCTTGACGGCCTCTTATTGGAGTAGGAGTTTTCTGTAGGGCTAAAAGTCACTACATACACCAGCCTGTTCTGACATACAGCAGGGACCGAGAGCAAGGCAGTAAGTGGATTTGGTTTTCAGATATTGCAAAAATAGCGATCTACATAATGTTATAATTATTTAACAAAACTGTTACCCATAGTAGCTTGTGGAGAAGATCATGCCCCTAATAAACATGTGGGTCTAGGGAGGCTGGAAAATGGAACACAGGTAGTACGTGTTGGATGTTACAGGCTGCTGTGTGCAACTATTACAATAAAGACATGAGCTTAGAAAAATCTGGTCCAGAGTATAAGCATGAGTGAAATAGAAGAGAAACAGCTCCAAAATTCATGGCCCTACTGAGTTAAAAACAAAACAAAAACAATTTACTAATCCTAGACCCCAGTAGTAAAAGATAAGATCAAGAAATCCTTAGAGGACCAGCAGTTAGCGTAATGGCTATGTCGCTGGACTCCCACGTAGTCGACCGTGGTTCGAGTCCCGGACCTGGTGGCTTAAACTCATGCTGGTCATATGTGCATGCATGTCCAAGATCCCGAGAGGAGAACGGAGGAGAAGGGATTGAGGCATGGCCGTCCCCCCTGGGGGGTGATTTCTCGCTTTCTGTCTCTGTCTTTCTCTGTCTTTCTGGTAAGCGTAGGTGCCTTATAGTAAAAACTTCTCAAAAAAAAAAAAGAAAGGAAAAAAAAAAAGGAAGGAAGAAATCCTTAGATAACAAATGCCAGGTAAAACCTTTAAAAGATTAAAATGTTTCAAGGGAAAGATAAACCAAGGGTGTGACACCCTGTAAATTCTTTTCAACTGAAGGGAAATGACTCAGGGAAGAGAGCCAATTAAGTGTGGTCCTCTAACAGAAACTTGATAGTTTAAGTCGAGAGAGATGACATATGTGATGACATTTCAGAGATATATGGTACTTGAGAACAGTGTCTCAAAAACAATAAACAAACAAAAAGACCTGGCAGATGTCATTATGGGCACATGTGGCTGCAAGAAATCAAATAAATAAGGATCTAAATTTATGAGATAGTGGTGTGCCCAAGAAACCACAAGCCTGAGCTAAAAATGCTTTTGAGTAACTTGAAGTTTAACACGTGGGTCTTCCATCTTCTCCAGGCAGGCAGAAAGCTGGGCAGCTTTCAAAGAGGGCAAAGGCCTCCAACACCCACTCCACGTGTGGTCACAGAAACAAGCAGAAAAGCTTCCCCAGTGTGTAGACTCTGAGGTCTTAGAGAACAAAGGTTACTGAGCTACCTGTAGAAAGTAGAATCAAGACCACATTAAGGACCATAATCAGCTCCCTGGGTAAAAAACTCTTCATAACTGATGTACAGAAAAATTCCAAAACCACCTTAGAGCAGTATCTGCCAAGAATCAAAGCCCTGCTCCCTTCTTCCCAGGGTGAGCGTGTGCTACCCAGTGCCTGTCTCACCACCTATGGGGTGTGCAGGGTTAGGTCTAGGGGCAGCAAAGCCGGGGTTTGCCCACTTAGTCCACGGTCTGCATCCTGGCTGGGCCCAACGCACAGCCTGCTAGGAATCACGCTAACTGCGCTCCACGGCCTGAGGAGATGGGGCCCTCTTGCTTCCCTCAGCAGAGGGATGGAGTGTGTGTGTGCTGGGGTGGAAAGAAGACCGGTGAGCACAATGGTGGGCTGTTCTCACCAAATGCTCCATCTGCTTCCCTATCCTTCTCAACTC